AGAGGACAATCAAAAGATTTATGATTGTTTCTTTAGGGGAGACTAGCTGAAATCATAAATACCCACAGGACATCAACGTTTGTTTTGGGTTCACAACCCAGGCTGTTTGAAAATGAGAACACCAGGCTAAACCTGGAGRCAGATCCAGTTACCGTATAGGATCGTATTTACCTAAGAAACAGAGCCAGTACCACCAACTGGACAGAGTTACACTGGAGCTTGTACTTTGTGTTTGTATGTCTGCATGAAGACACACATCCCTATACTTTCACTTAATGTGTTTTGGCTGAAGGGAGTGTTGTATCGAAGTCAAAAATGAACAAATAAATGCCATTTTWTTTCCAATCAGGGTGGATTTTGGACATATTCTCATTGTGTTGGACATCTTCCAGCACACAAACCCCTGTTGCGTCTCCGGCATCCAGCTTAGTGTGTGTTTGGACACTGTGTTTACGTGTTTGTAATTGTTTTTTGCGCAATGGTCTGAGCTTAAGCAGTACCAGATGTGATGGACGGAGACAGGGGTGGAAGGAGAAAAACTTTCAGAGATTTGTCATATCTGGTCTTTTCCATTCTTGATATGAATTTCCACAGAAGTCCCACCCTTTTTAACACCATCACCCCTCCCATGTAACTTGGACCTTTGGAAAAATGTTAAGGGATGAGTTTTACTTTTACTTATTGCCACCTGATTATTTTTTACACTCATTAACTCACAAATGCTCTTTCACTGCTTTAGTTGAACAAAAAAGGGGTTAACCATGTCCCTCATCACCAGAACTAGTGAGCCTTGAGGACAGCGAGCTATGCCTGGAATGTCAGTTCACCTCAGTGAGAGTCAAAAACATGAATACACACCTGCTGTATCCATACACAAAAAAGAACACACTTTGGCTTAAATACCCCGCTGCACAGTTATACACCCTTTTTTTTAGAAGTGTGTGTGTTTCATATGAGACATTCCTGTACTGTAGCTCTGTTTTCCTGAGGCAGTAACAGGATATCCTCCCCCTCTGTACTGTCCACTGGACACACACACTCCTAACACAAGCACACATTCCTGCATGTGACCAAACATGCATGTGCAGCAAATACCGTGGGTCAGATAAAAGGAGAAACTGTCTCATATGTGYGTTAGTGGGGATATAGAAGTGGGATCTGATTCTCACATGGTCACTAATATAATTTAGCAGTTATGACGGGGGTCCAAGCCCTCAGACACATGCCACCCCCCTGTGTTGCAGCTGTGTTCCTAGGTTGTCTCTGCTTGGACCCCTATGTAACTAMTGGGAAAATCATTTGACTTGTTGGCAGGCAGAAGGCAGGAGAGTGAGACAAAAACAAAGAAAAAGAAACGAGTTGGAGGAGCACAAGAAAACTATACATGAATAACACCTATGAYGCAAGCAGTTAAAGAATTCCTTTAAATAACTTAATTATTAATAATTTATGGTACACTCTGCCACTTGCCATTTGTTAGCTGTTTTATAAAGGAGACATACTGTAYCATGCAAAATCCACTTTTTTAGCCATTAAATTCATTTAGTTGTGTACTTAGTCTCTAGGAGGGCAGAAAAGTTTAATTTAGTCTCTCCTGGTGCTGTTTAGATAAAATATCTGTATATTCTGTTTGGTTCCTATTTTTCAAACTGTTTCATTTTATTTAATTTCTATGAAGTTTTCTAAGCAATTGCATCATAATATTTGTGACAGAACTTCTAAAGTCTGGACTTACCAACTACAATGTTGTCGAYTTCATTCTCTTCTCCCTCTGCATCAGACTCTGGCTCCAACATATAAGACTTCCCTATTTAATTAATATGTAAATAATACATTTCTAAACCCTTCTATCACACTGGAACAGACTGCTCTGGAAGCTAGAGGGGGGTGGGGTGTAAAGCGCCTTGTTTGGATTTAAAGAGACAGCATCAAAATGAGTTGATCTGAGACACACCTCCGAAAAGGGGTGAAAGAGGAGCTTGTGGAGTTACAATAATGAGAAATTCAAACCAAAGCGTTGGAGTTCCACTTTATATAAACCCTAAAGGTCTTGTGGTTGCTCTGCATTTGTTTTTGCACGCACGTTTCATAGTTCCTGTGATACACCCCGTGACGAGCTCCTGGGAAACGCCTCCCGCTGCGATACACGTCACTGCACGAGGTTCGTTCCTGTAGGAGTCCACACTCCGGGGAAAAATAAAAAACTCCGATCTGCTGTTATTTTTTTTCACAAATCTGTCCTGGTTAACTCTCCACACTTATCTACAGATGGACTCCTCCGTACAAAACGTATTTTTTTTWATCTCCACTCATGAGTTTTTAGCCATTTGACGATCTTTATACCGGGTAAATGTCTGCTTCTGGTTACAACAGTCACATTCAGGAAGCGAATAGAGCAAAATGCAACATCTGAGTGCTTTCACCATAAACAAACACGCCCACAAACTTCTGACCAATCACACATTAACTTCTTAGCGGGGGGGGGGGCAGGGTATGACGAGGCGGCAGAGCACGGTGATGTAATTTTCGTCATGAAACTGACAAACCGGGCTGATGTCGGCTGGACAGATGGAGTATAAAGAGGTTTTAACTTATTTAAATGTAAAAAAAAAGGAGGATATGTTTTCTTTATGTTTTGAACAAGCTGGACAATTATTCAAATAGAAAAGTTTGAAAAGGGTTTGTTGTTACTAAAGCACACCCATCACTTTGTAAATGATAAAAAAAAGAAAATTAATTTGAAATTTTGATCAAAACGTATTTATTTTGGTCTAGACATATTAACATTGACCTTTATGAGCAGCTGACTGTGAGACGGGGACATCTAAGGACTCTGCAGTGGGTCATGGAAGAGTTCATTTTCAGTTGGATGTTTTCTGGACAAAAACAGCTCTGTTTAATATCCTCCAACTCCATTCAGAGATATGAGACTGGGAATGATAGAGGGTGCTGTAACTAGGGGAAGTTTTCAATGTTTTGCTTTTRAAACACTGTTTAATTTTTATATATATAAATACAAGTCCTGTTGCGGCATTAGAACAGAGAAACTAAAATGATTATGCACACAGACCATTGATGTTTAGACAGTTTTGTGGAACAATTAAAGGAGATATGCCAATAAGAATAAGCTTACTTATGCAAATGTTTACACCAGGACAGTTTAAAGTAAAGAAAAACAACCCTAACTGAATGGGTCAGCAAAATACCCTGAGAGTGTTTTTTTTAATTCAAAAAAGAGTAAGGAGGAGACAGCACTAAAGTGTAGCGGAAACTGTTGCTTCTTTGTGAGACAGACCAGAAGACTTTTTTCAGTGGTTTTAATCCTTCATGTGACTCCTCTGACCAATGCCTCTGGATCGGAACAAGCTGGGAAAAGAGAAAAAGAACAAGATTCCAAAAAAAAAAAAAAAAGCCTGAGTGAGAGGATTTGATGAAAAAAGGGAGGGCTACATAAGAAAAAAATTACCTGGATTTAGTATTCTGATTGCTAGACTTTTGTAAGAAGAACAGAAAGACAAATATGTCCTTCTTCTGCTCATGGGCTTTTATGTGAAGGGTGAATGAATTTACTGAAGTGATTCTCATTAACTTTCTGCACACACACACTTAAAATTTGGAAAGACAGAGGTCAACAACTCATTGAATCAAACATACCCTTGCAGAGGAGGGGTAATGGGTACATGGGACCTTAACGGAGAGGGCAACGATGTTTGCCAATAATCCACAGAAAATCAACAGATCATAAAGATAGGAGTGCTGCTCACTAACAAAATGACAGGAATGTGTAGAATGATGGTTTATTGACACAGGGTCACAAGTCTGATACCAACGTGACAATATGTGTGGACTTGTTCCTGGATAAATATGAGCTGCAAGTGAAAAAATTCATTTTTTAGATTAGTACAATAGGTAAAAGTTTATTACTGTTATCATTATTGTTATTGATGATGATGATGATGATGATGATGATCAACCTTTGGCAGTGTGTTTTACAAGTTGTCCGAGAACAAAAACTGAATTCAGACTGCCATATTTCTTTCAATCATAAATTATCTGCTCCCRAGACAAATGCTTGATCCAAATTATTATTTCAGTCTAGATTTTTCATAAAGAATCAGATACATTTTTCAACCTGAAGTATCTTTTAATTCAAAAGATATGAAGCATATTTTGAAAATCTCAGGTACACACACAGCTGCAAATGTAAAAAAAATAAAAATCAGCTATCACACCAGCTGAAAATTGTCCTTTTTAGACAATAACTAATTGGAGGACAAACTTTTGCATTTGAATTACCTTTTTTTTGGCTCCCACTGAACCCACAGAAAATTTATTCAATTAGGAATCACTAAACAAAACATAAATACTAAATAATTGAATATCACAGTATCTATCAAACTTTGAATCTAGCAATGTTCTGAATGGACTAATTTTTTTTAGCTAAGCTTTACCACAGAGTGGCTGCATTTTGATGCTCATCTCTGATGGTTTGTTGTACAATGTTTATATTATTATTATTATTATTATTTTTTTTTAATGCTGCTCTTTTTCTTGTCTTTTGTATGTATAAGCTTATGTCTTATGTGTGGGTGTGTATCTGTATGAACCTAGAAACTGCTGAACTGAATTGTCCTCGGGATTAAAAAAAAGTCKTCTGAATCTGAAATTGATTCAGTAAAGCAATAGATGGGGTTTGTGTCCCAACAATCCAGTCACTAAATGTTGCATGTACCACAAGGTCGGTGCTGAAGCTGTGGCATGTTTTTGCTCCCCCTAGTGGTGGAAACAAGTTAAGGCACATTGTTACTGCAGAGTAATTATGAACGCTGCTGCATTGCAGACTGAAGGATCTGTGAGGTGTATTTCCTTAATGTGCTGAAGAAAAGCCTGAAGTCAGTCTGTTTGTTTAATAGACCTAACTGTTAGTTTTGTGTCTGCCTGGCYGTTATTGAAACTGCAACGTCTCTGAAACACGTGCTTGTTTGTGTTTGTTGACACAGAAACCGTGGCGAGCGGCCGAAGATGTCAGTGACTCTTTACCAAAAGAGCGAGCCCTGAAGAGCGTCAGTTTCCAGGAATCAGTCAGCTTTATCTCTGACACGCCTGCAGACATGGAGCTGGAGAGCCAGCAGATCCAACATGGATGCCTCAGCAGCCCCAGTAACCAAGTACAGACTCCTGACAGTGTGGTGCAGGTATGCACATTCTCAAATAACTTATGTATGAACAGGCCAACAAACACACAACCTAATTAATAGTTGACCTATTTAATAGTTCTAAAATAGATGATCAGTCTGAAAACGTACAATTATTTCTCCCAATAACGTATAGTCTTCATCCTTCACCTAAATCATAATTTGCAGTATATCTAAACATCAAACAGTCCAGCACTTTAAAAGAGAAATCTGTGTTTACAGGAGATTCGCTACCTGGACCAGGTGTTAGACGCAGCCTCAGAGACACCCACCAACGGAAACCCTCCCTCACTGGAGTCCATTAAACCAATCAGCATCAACGGAACCTCTCCATCTGTGTGCGTGTCGGCCTCCTCTCCTGCCAGTCACCAATCGGTCTTCATCGAACAGAGACCCGACACGTTCGTCCACCACCAGGAGGAGTTATCTGTGAAAACCAACGGGCAYGTGCAGGGAGACGAACCGGGGAGTGGCACGGCCAAGTTTGAGCTGCGAGCTTTTCACGAGGAGAAGCGCCCGGCGAAGCTCTTCACCCCCGGAGAGGAGCAGCAGGTTAGGGTGACGAGAAGACGACCCTCGGAGGAGGTAAACAGCTTTTTCATAACAAATACACTATTCAGAACAAAGCAGTGTTTCATTGTTTTGTTGTAAGATTAGGAAAGATGTCCAGATTAGACATTGTGACACATCAGCTAACAATATTGAAATAAAGGTTTTCTATGTTTTTTGACTGTCAATTATTGTGATACCTAATTGGAGCACTTTTTGTGTATATTTTTTATTTTTTTTCTCCCCAGGTTCAGGAGTTGGAGCGCGAGCGTCAGGAGCTAATCAGAGACCAGGCCGTAAAGAAGAACCCCGGGATCGCACAGCGCTGGTGGAACCCTCCACAAGAGGTAGAACCCTCCCACCACTGAGGGTTTGGTTTCTCTTTAAACTCTGATGACTTCTCAACAGGTTTATTAATTTATTTTTTTAAGGTCCCTTTGGAAGAACAGCTGGACAGAGAGCAGCTCGAGTCTCTCAGGAAATACCAGGAGAGGAAACAGCAGAAACACAACCACACCTATGCCTTCACACAGGTAACACACAACAGCACAAGACAAAGATTTTGGAGTTTTTGTAATTGACTCAGACAGTTTCTTTGAAGGCATGTTTAAAGTGAATAAATTCTCTTCTAATCCTTGCAGCCCCAGGTGTCAGGTCCGCCCACAATGGTCTCCTTTGATCCCGACATAACCAGGAAGGAGGACATAGTAGAGGAGCAGATCGACTTCTCGTCTGCCAGAAAGCAGTTTCTGCAGGCCGAGGCTCCTAAGAAGGATGTGACTCCTCAGTTATACTCAGCCAAACCCTTCGCAAAGCCCACGACAAAGAGCAGCACGGGGAGCTGYGACATCCTTGCAGAAACGGGAGAGGCTCACGTGACTTGGTCTGATGAAGGTCTCGCGGGAGAATTTACTTGTGCCCGAGCTGTGATGACGATCCTGCGAGATGAGGAGGAAGGAAAAGGCCGACTTTATCCATCTTTTCACCCGGAGGAGTCTGACTCTGGATTAGATGAGTTGTCTGTCCGCTCTCAGGACACGACTCTGTTCAGTTTGGATAATGTTTCTGACAGCGGTGCTTCTCTACCCCCAACTCCATTGCCGCTTACCCCGGTGTCGCCTCCCACCCCCCAGCCCACAACTCCAGTCAACGGGCGGACCAACGGCGGTCCGACGGAGGAGGAGCTGGAGTACCACGCTGGGGTTCTCGTCCAAAACGCCATCCAGAGCGCTCTCGCCGCTCAGAATGGAGGGGACTCGGACTCGTCTCAGTTGAGCGCCCCCGTGTCCCCGTCTTCACTCTCTACGAGTAGCCCGGTGCCAGTTTCCTCCTCGCCTGTGTCTTCTGCTGGAGCTCCAAGTTTCCAGTCTCCTGTGTCCTCCAGTCCTGCACTGTCCAACCCATCCCCACAGCCAGACATGCAGCCACTGGAAAAGGCCGTTTCCCACCAGTTCGATCAGGTCTCCAGCTCAGCTCACCTTTCACAACTCCAGGCACCTTCTCCTCCGCAATCTCAGCCCGTTTCGCCCCYACAACGGCCCAGAAACGGAGGCCCCAGGATCAAAATCCAGTCCTCATACACCCGAGCGTTGGCCTCCTCGGCTCCCGCTGCAGCTCCAGCTCCGGTCTCAGCGGCTCCTGTGCCCAGGCCGACCCCGGTCTACCGYCCCCCGTCTCCTCCGAGCCCGGAGAAACCGGAATTCAGCTACTTCAGCAAATACTCCGAGGCGGCGGAGCTGCGGAGCACGGCGGTGGCGACTCGAGGCCCCGAAGCGGAGGCGGCCAGCGGCCCGTTCCGCCTGCGCTCCAAAAAGCAGAAAACCCTGTCCATGATCGAGGAGGAGATCCGAGCCGCTCAGCAGAGGGAGGAGGAGCTGAAGAAGCAGAGGGAGACGCAGCCCGCCGCTGCCACCCGACCCAGCAGTACATCYGTCAACAGTCAGGGTCCTGCGAGGCGAGGAGCGAGGCAGACCATCTCCCCGGCAGATAAGATGAAGAGCAACAGCCTGCCAGCTAAACTCACACTGACTGCACGGACGGCACCAGGTCAGCTACACCACAAAAACTACTAGAACTCACTCAGTTGTGCAGATATTGGACTGATTCTTTGGTGTTGCAGCACAGATTAAACCACACACTTCGGATGTTATCATCCATTAAATGGATGTTATTAGCCGTTATCAGTCCCATAGAATGGCTTCAGACTGTCAGCTGGTTAGTATGAGGCATAAAACCACTAAGGTTTTTTATGCAATCTGGTTAACATGAGGCATAAAGCCACTAAGGTTAGTTTTAGAGAAAATGACATGGGTAAATAAAGTAGACCRGACTCCAGTGGTAGCAGATTGTTGCACTCCAACATATATGGCACTGGTAACCCACTAGGGGGCACTGTCAGGACAAGTCTGAAGCCATTCTATGGGACTGATAACCGCTAATAATGTCCATTTAATGGACTGATTACATCCGAACTGGCTGTATTAAACCCATTATGGGACCATGTGCATCGCTTCAATTTCTTATTGCTTTGCAGGAAAGATTGAGAAAGTTCGCACCGCTCCACCGGTCTCACCCTCACCCTCTGAAGGTGCCCTGTCTGACGCCGGCAGTGAGGACTCTGGAGGATCGCGACCCAAAAACTTCATGCAGACACTTCTGGAGGACTATGAAACACACAAGATGAAGAGGAAGGAAAAAATGGAAGACAACAGTGTAAGCCTTTAAACCTTTAAAAATCTAAATACATGAAGAAGTCATGATGAAAGGAAGATATATTCTTACTTTCACTTTTAAAACAATAGTTTGACCCTAAAAATGTAGATTTTAAAAGGTGTTTGTATCAGAAACATGTTGCTATTTACAGAAACAGCCTCAGTCAGGACATAACTGAAAGAGTTTATCAAACAACACATGATTGTTTGACTTTGGCTGCTGATAATGTCAGAAGGGTTGAATGCATTCATTCTGTTGGTATGAGCTAATTCATTGCCACAGCGAAGGGTAACTCCCTCACCAGAGGAGGAACTCGAAATGAAAGTAATGCAAGTTTCTGTTCCAACTTKTTCTACTGTTTTAGCCTTCACTTGAAAAGCTGTGAGCTAAAATTTGTCAAATCAAACATTAATTATTAGAATTTTTATATAAAACATGCATTAGCAAATAGAAATTTCAACAACAGACAGATTTTACACAGCAAATGRGTAAAACATTTTAGTTATTCACTATTTTAACACAATTTAGACTGATTTTAAGTTGGGTTGCTGTTTGCATCTAATTTCATTGTTTATTGATGATGACATCACATGTGGTGACTTCCTGTTGCTTCTCTTCCTGCTAATGGGTCAGTATGCCCATTTGTTGCTGGCTAACGAGGTGACCACTGAGGTACTTGATTCACCCCAAAACTATCACTCCTTCAGCTTTTTCTTTTTTTTTTTTACTGACAGACCTGGGTCAGACAATACAGAACATTTTTTTTATTTTTTTTTGCAAATGCAGTACATTCCTGCTTATATTTGGACCATTACAGCCATTGGCATCAATAGTGATGGATGAAGGGATTTGAATAAACCGATGAAGTTTATTAGAAGGATCACTTCAGTGTACGTTATCAGTGACCAGCTGAGGGAACCAGGCCATCTTCATGGTTACTGAGTGATACACAAGAGGAAAACCATGACTGATTATCTTGAGAAAACTATCAGGAAATTAACTCGCTACCTCGAGAAAATGCTCATCGTTATTTTCTGATAACGACATARCGAGAAAACCACGGATTATTTCGCGGATACCGTTTAGCGCAGCCTAYCGGAAGCGGCGCGCGYGATGGTTTGTGGGATTGTTTGGGGKCAAGCGAAAGAAAAGTCAATGATGGGACAGTTTATAAAAGTTTAAAGTTGGGATCGTTGCACATTTTAAAATGTTTATTTTGATTCGGGAGGTACCAACTTCTAATCAGAAAAAGGACAAACTCGTCCAGAACTTTTACCTGCTCAAATGTTGGAMTTAGTGCCTAAAATAGCAACCTGGAGATGCAAAATAGAGGTAAGGTTATACTGCTGTGCAATATTTTGACTCATAATATAATGTAGTAATTACTATAGTATGGCACTATTTTAAATCTATTGCCAGAGAAAATCCCAGTATAAAGGGATCATATTAATAACAGCATTATGAGCAGTGAGGCTGGGTGATAAACATAAATTCCACATATAATCTTGAGGCAGTRTTAATCCTGAGTATAAAACAGCCTTCTTGGCTACACATCAAATTTGGCTAAAATATTAATTCAAAATATGTGTTTTTGTTTTAACAGCGGTAAATGCATTTGTTGTTGTGATCTGTAGCTTTCTGTTTTATGTATATTATTGATAATAAGTAAACCGTACACCATTACATGGTGAAATTTTTTAGATAGTCCCGACCTATATTTGTAATTTTAAGTGGTCAAAATTATCTGTAGTCAGGAAATATGATACGCGGACCAGATTACAGCAAAACACGTCCACACGTTTAGCTCAAGATCTACTAGACTGAGTGGCGACAATCATGTGTTTTCATTATTCTTTATATTCTAACTTGTTTTCATGTATCTGTGGTTACTGTTGCACAAATACACAAGTAAAACGCAATACACCACCCATTTTCAGTCATTTAATTCACACACCGACACCGGATGCCCCCAAACTGGAACATGATGCTTTGCGCGAGGCAAAGATGGCGGTATCCCCWAAATAGTCCATTGGAGAAAAAAAACATGGAAAAGTGTGAATTATTAAACTAAAAATCTCTTTTTATGTCTTTTCCATTCCACGGCACATTAAAGGTGTGGTCAGAAAGTCTTCTAGCAATGAAAGAAATGTGCAAAGTGTAGCTGCAATGCACTGATTATGTTCCAGTGTCACATTTTAAAGCTTCATCCAGCTCCTTTCTGTCAAAGAAACACATAAAAAAAATGTTTTATTCTGATCCCAGGTCTGTTTGTCTCTCTGCCTTGTTGTTTTGTCGTGCTAGTTCTGCATGTGTTTGTTCCATACATTTGATGTGACTCAACACACATACAACAGTAGAGTTTCACATTAAAGTATTTATTTCCACCATAAAGTGTATTCATTACGATTTCATTAGTGTTAATGTATTACTTTAAACACAACTTCTGTTTGAACAGAATCGTAAAACTGACAATAAAAGTTACAATATTTTCGGGAACTCGTAGAATCTCACCATCACCCCGTCGCTCCTTATTGTGAAAATTTGGTGTTTGTGTTTACGTTGGCATGAATGCGTGAAGGTGACTGGAAACCTAAAATCTGGAGCGAAAGCATGACCCGTTCGCTTCACTTCAGCCCAAAAAGTCATTTTATTGTTGCTGAATGCAGCAGGCGTGCTYCATTTTGGTCATTTAAAGTCAGGAGGCGCTCCCTCAGTGTTAGACACCACATTGCACGCCAGATTACAGCCTTGGTGGTGAGTTGTTATGACTGTGGTACTCTTGCTTCCCTCGGGGTGTGAAAAGCGTGTGTTTATTATGACATCGCTCTGAACGGGCTTGAAGCTCACCGTTTGTTTTGTTTTTGTCAGGTTCTGGAGGCCACGCGGATGACCAGGAGGAAAAGCAACATGGCTCTGAAGTGGGAGGCCGGTATCTACGCCAATGAGGAGGGAGAAGAGGAGGAGGAGGAGGAAGAAGAGGAAGAGGAGGAGGAAGAGGAGTGAATGGATTTGTTCATGGACATTTAGAAGGAAAAAGAGGACAAAGAGGCTGACGGGAAGTGGGAGAAAACGACAATGATTTAACCAGTATTTATTCTACTAACAGTTTCCTGGTGAGCGCATGAAATTCCTCAGGTTTGGGGGGTTTCGGGAGCTGAGGACTGAAGGTGTAACAGTATGTGAAGTGGCCTGGTCTGTGAGAGTTTGTTGAAGAATAGAAACACAAGTCAGTGGTGCAGAGGACATTTTAGAACTGTTTAAATCTAGAAGGGTCTGAATAACTTCATAGGATTTTTCATCTATTTTCACTTTTTATTACAGAACAGATCGACTTTCCTGACAAAGTATTGACGAGTGCTTTTGGCCATGTGTTCAAAAATATCCAAGTGTCAAAAAGAAGATGCACAAGTGAGTGACTATAAGATGTACACGTATAGAGGCCAAGGGAAAGCACGCCCCACTTTGGGACTTTCTGGGACATTTTCACCTTTGATGATGCTGCAAGAGGACTGCAGTCTTTTTTGAGGAACTGAACCAAAGGCCACCCCTGAGCAAACCTTTTACCCTGTGCTACTTTGTCACACGCAGCCTGCAGAGCAACAACACATACCACTCTGCTGGAATGACAAAATCTGGCATTCTTTACAGCGTTAAATCAAAAGTAAATAGTTAACACCCTTGGATTGTTAAATGCTGGTAGGTAAATCTGCAAAACTAACTTTGCCTTAGATGCTCGGTAGTTGTTGGTATATGATGTATTTTATTTACTACAGTTTCAATAGACCTTAGAGAGTAAAAACAACCCCAGTAGATAAAAGGTTTGTCTATAATCACTATTTCTTATCATACTGTCCATAAAGTCAAGAAGGAAATATTTGAGGATGACAGAACTTTTGCGTGTTAATAAAGGGCTGAGTGATGGGGTTTATTCTCTGAAAAATGACTTTATTTGCTCACGTGGCTTTGTTTGCTTCTTGATGTTGCGTCATGTAATATACTGAGGTAGAGTATGATGTATCTGCTCTTTGCTTTGAGGAAAAGGTTTGATTTAAAGAAAAAAACTTTTTATACCAAAAACAGAATGTTATTTAGAGAAAGGGGGTAAAAACCTGTCCACCTAAGCTTTTATTTAAGTAGAGATTGTGTGCATGGGTTTGCACTCCGTCCCTCACCTGAAACAAGCACACGACAGCAGGAACTGACAGTAAGAGGCTGCGACAACAGAGTCCTGCTTGTTTAGGGGGATCTAAGTGTTGGACGTTTTTAAACGACATGTATTGTAAGTTATGATTTTGCGGAATGATGTGTTGATGCTGTTCTTCGACAGGAGCCTGAGCGTGACGATCAAACAAACATTAAAACACATTTTCATGGCTGCACGATATTATCGGATATTGTGATGCCGTTGCGATAAATTGGCATTTTTCTCTATTCTCACAAAAAAAAATCAAATAGTTTTGGCTGCTATCATGTAAATTGGCTATTTAAAGCAGTGAGGTTTCAATCAGGCGTGCACTTTGTGGATATTTTTCACACTGTTATTGTGATAAAATTTTCACTAAATCGTGCAGCCGTGATTAATGCACGAAGCTCGGTCTTTAGCTGAGATTAAAAGTAGCATTGTGTTGAGATGGCTCGTTATTCCAGTTTAACCAGAAAGTGATACAGTGATTTTAAGTCTATTTTAGTCTGTGCATCGAAGTCTGAGATTTTTTTTTTGTCTCTGCTAGACTGTTTGAGGATAATCATGTTTCTGTTAACCAAAGGTCAGCTTTGATCACATCTGTGTGTCCTGCACAAGTGTCCTTCAGCAAGGCACTGACCTCAGTGACGCACACTGAGGCAAGCTTGCAAGAAAAACAAATGAATAAAAATCCAACGGGACGCTCGTTAACCTTTGACTGTTTTTACTCTTCTAATAGCAGGGGAGGTGGAAGAGTTTTTGCTGACACATTATGTGACTTGGCTGTTTTATAATGAGCTCTCTGAAGAAGACAAAGTGCCAGTAAGCACCAGGAGTCAGAGGTAAAAATCCCCAGGCTGCCTCTGTGTTCACTACTTCAGCTCCAAAACAAGACAAGTGTTATATTATTATTATTTTAAAGTATTTAAATAAATCGACTCCTTTTTTTACGAGACTTAAAAGGAAATAAAAAAGTGATTTCAACATAGTTTTACTTGTGTTGATCTTTAATTCAAACTGATGAGCGTGTTTTTTTTTTTTTTTTTTTTTTTTTGGACTGAGCTGCTGCAGCATATTGTAAAATACAGTCCTGACCCCTGCTTAAAACGAACCACAAATCTATTTAAAGTTTTCCCACTATTGCTTTCCGACAATATGCACATGTAGAGGAGTTGCATTGTGTGATTTATTATTGTTATTAATAATATGATGCTTTTTTGTTTGAATTCGTGGATAAAGGATTTTATTTATCATTTTACATGCTGGTAGCTTGTTTTGGTTTTCCCCCTGCAGAAGCTCCACAGCTTCAGTGTGGGACACCCAGCGTCTAATGTGTGATAATTCAGTTCTATAAACTATAACCTGTTTTTTTATGTTAACCACTTATATGCTCATATTCTGCTTTTGGTGTTTTATAGCACATATACGGCTCACCATATACTCCTACTACATATGTCATGAATATTTTCTCATTAAAAGTAAAACCTGTAAATGTGTGGGGGTTTTGAGTGGTTCATTTGTGTGATTTTTTTTTTATTTTTAAAGGACGACGCAACTCACATCACACTCCAGCTGAACATAGCAGACATGTAGCCTCGTATGACCGTAGCACAGATATGTACTTTACATGTATTGTGGCCAAAACAGGAAGCCTAGTGTGTCCCAAATCTTTCAACATTAACATTATTTTATGGGAGGTGCAGACCACTATGATGTGGCTTATTATCCTTAAAGTGTCTGTGACATCAAATTTTTGTAATAAATATGAATGTATTTTTGGAAAGATAACATTTATAACACATTGTAAAAAAGATTTCACGCTTCTGAGATGAACAGTTGCGGAGATATTTGCATGTGAATTAACAGGAAGTGATGTCAAAGAGGAATGTCTGAATGTGAACAGAGTGCAGCTAAAATAGCACAACACCGACTGTAAGAGAAGAATCTGATGTTTCTTTAGATTATTTTAAACACTATCATAGAGAGATGAGAAAGAGCCAGAGTTCAAATAATATTTTATCAATAAATTAAAACCAGGGACTTTTCTTTCTCAATGAGTTCCCCTTTGATGTCACTTCCTGTTTCACTTTAGCTGAGTCAAATTCAAAAGAAAATATACCAGTTACGTGACGTAACAGGTAAAATTATATGTATTATTACAAGTTTCTTAAACATAAATATATTTTCTTTCTGTTTTTTTTTTTTTTGTATTTTATGGATTTGCATGTCACAGACACTTTAATTCCTTTTTTCCTTTACATTTTTCTTTTTTTTTACTTTTAAGTAGTTTTAAAACCAGTACTTTTACACTTACTTGAGTAAAAAGCTTGAGCTGATTCTTTTACTTCCAAAAAATATTTTAAAACCCTAATATACTTCTACTTAAGTAATGAATGTGAATACTTTTGACACATCTGCTTATTTGTATCAGTAAGAAGTAATAAAAATACTTTAGTTGAAGTCGTCATTTTTCTACTAACTAAAATAAGTCACTGACTAAATCCAGTCTGGTTTAGATCATTGTTACTTTTAAATTATATACAATTTCTTGTATAAACCTGGCTGTTTTACATGATTGTTCAATGAAATTAACATGTGATCATTGTAAAAATGTTACAAAATATTAGTGTGACAGATCAGCTGGGCTTGTTTTTAATCAAATAGTTGCTACGAGGGCTGTGAGCCTTCACCCTGTGGTCGACGCCATTTCTGCTCCTCCATGTCGTCACAGATGCCATCAGTGGGTGTGATATAGGCAGGGCTCACTAGTGATACTTTTCTTTATTATTTAAAGCTACAGCCAGTTATTAGCAGGCAGTTTTGAAAGTGCCCTGTGGTTAGTGCAGCATGTGCTTCTAAATGTGCTTGCATATGGAAAACAAAACCACACAAAAAAAAAAAAAAACAAAGCAAGGAAACTCAGCATGCATTTTTTTATTTAGTTTTTGGTTCTTCATACATTTATTTTTGTTTTAAAACACTAATAATGTGGCTATGTTCATAGTTGTAATGTAACTAAGTACAAATACTTTCTTACTGTACTTATCTGTACTTGAGTAATTATTTTTCAGCGTACTTTTTACTTTTACTCAATACATTTTTACACAATTATCTGTACTTTCTACTCACATTTTTTTAAAAGGTAAGAAGTAAAGTCGTTACTCTTATTTTAAAAATACTATCCTGATAAACAGTGTCTACTGGATAGAGTGAATTTAACTGTGGTTGGATGAGAAGTATAAATATGTAACGTTCTGACACCCTATTAATGTACACAACCCATCACAGCTGCACGCCATTAGAAAAAAATATTTTTTGGAGAAGTCACCTCCCAATAAATGTCTTTTTGGAAAATCTAACTGCTCACTTTTACTCAGTACTTTTACTTTTAATACTTAAGTAGATTTTGTGTCAGAAATTTACTTTTGACACTTAAGTGCAAAAATATCAGATACTTTAAGACTTTTACTCAAACAACATTTTTAGAGAAGACTTTAAATTTTACCAAAGTATTTTTATAAGATACTTGTACTTTTACTCAAGTATCACGTTGAGGTACTTTATACAACACTGGCTATGTTGAAATATAAGAGTCGGAAAAGAAAATATGCTAATATTATATTGGCAAATAAAAGTTTTTTTTTAATATGAAAAGTAAAAAAGTTGCAAACTAAAGTTCTAACTGTAAAAGCCAAGAGCACCCATGCTGTAAACAATGTAAAACCCTGCCTCTCTGATGGTATGGGGGTGTATTAGTGATTGTGGTACATCTGGAAAGATGTCAGCTGTTTCATTTTCTGTTTTGTAGCAGTTCAGCTCAGTAGATCAACCCCCACACTTTAAAGATAAAAAGTTTTTTTCTTAAAATTAAATAAAAATAGGCTAAATTAATGGCTGAAGTGAAAATACTGCGAAATAAATTTAGTAAACGAGCCAGTTTACCTGCAGACAGGACGAGGAAGTGGGCGTGTAATGGTAGATTCACCCCCCTCCTTTCCTCCGCAATCAGAGGCAGAAAAGCAGAACTAACAACACGAGCAAACTGCAACTAAAATCATGGCGAACTTGTGCCACGCAGCCTTCGCGGTGCTCCGGCAGATCGAGCCGATCATCGTGCTGGAGGAGCTGGGCAGCACGCTCTTCGACACCGCCCTGCTGATGGTGGTGAAGGACCGGTGCGCCAACGCCACCTACCCGGACCGCTCCAGGGAGGACAGCCAGCAGAAAGCTATGACGGACTTCTACATGACCTACAGCCTCATCATCCAGCTCACCCCCATCGTCCCCGCGCTGCTGCTGGCCAAGCTCGGCGACCGCGGCCGGAGGAGAGCGCCCATCGTGGTGCCCCTCGTCGGGTACCTGCTGTCCAGGCTCGCCCTGCTCCTGGTGGTCATCTGCGCGCTGCCGCTGCAGGTGATGTACGGGGCGGCGGCGGCGTTCGGACTCTCCGGCGGATACAGCGCCTACTGGCCCGGGGTGATGACTCTGGCGTCGCTCGCCTCCACGACCTCTGATCGCTCCAAGGTCCGTCATTTTTTTTATTATTATTTATTTTTATTATATTTTACCCCCCAGTTAGTGGGAAACTAATGATTCAAAACAGATTAAAACTTAATTAT